TTCCTGCTGTGACATTCAGGATTCGCATCCTTGACAACTTGGCCACCGACCCGTGTCTCAGCACACCCTGTCCCATCATCTGGGGGGCCTGGGAGATGTGCTGAGACGCTGGAGAGCAGGAGGGCCGGGAGTGGAGTGCTGAGGAGGGGCGGGTTTGCCTCAAACCCCTTCCTGGGAGGCGGGCAGGGCCACAGTCAGAGGCATCTAACGGTCAGGGCAGCCCAGGCGTGGATCAGTGCATTCGGGGTAGGGGACTGCTGGGTCAGCTGTCAACCCTCTATTCTGGGGGAGCCAGCTGGGGGGTTCTGGAGGAAGGCTTGGGGGGTCAGGAAAGGGAAACCTTTGGGGGGCTTGGGGCAGGGCCTATTTAACAACTGCTATGGACACGTTTTGACAGTTTGACGAGCCGTGGGAGTGTATGGGAGACCTGCTGACTGCCGGCCTGTGCTGTGGAGGGGGGACGGGGAAAGGCTGCCTGGGGGCAGCTTTCTTGCCATTCCACCACCAGAAAAATTCCTTTCACTCGGAGCGGGTGGCAGGTCACTGTTTCCACTTGGCCCAGCCTCCCAAGGCCCGTGGCCACTACAAGGGAGGCTTCCTCCTCCCCCCGCTCCTGTCCACACAGCACCGTGGCTCCATGGCCTGGCCGGGGCTGGAGCCTGGGCTGGGCAGCCTCCGCTCTGGGTCCTCTGCGGCCACCTCTCTCAGCCGTCTTCCCTCCCCCGTGGGGGCCTGCTTGGCACCCCCCTCCCTCCTAGCCCCCAGCCCACAGACGAGGACTTTCCCCTATGCTCTGCCTGTCTAGCGGAGGAGACAGTTGGGGTGGAGTTGCGGGGCGGGGGCGGTAGGAGCAGGTGCAGTTGAAGGGCAGCTGGAGGGGGTGGGGGGGACCCCAGATTCTTGGTGCAGGGCCCCTTCTCTGCCTGCTGTCCCAACTTCCCTGTGCAGCAATTTCGCTTTCTATTTTAAATCTATTTAAAGTTGGTTGCTTCCCTGCCTTCCTGCTGGGTGTTTATAGTGAGGAAAATAATTGGTAATATTTGCACAGATGTGCTGGCGCTGCAGCTCATCACGGGCACCTTTACCCAGGGGACCCTCCCTGCCCCCAGCCTCTCTCTGCCAGCCCGAGGAGCCAGCCTGAACGGGGGGTACCAGCAAGCTCCCCCTCCTTCCAGGAGCCTCAGGCAGAGCTGGGAAGCAGGAGGCTGAAAATGCCCCAGGCGCACCCAGAGGCAGGCCTCAGCAGGACCAGGAAGCAACCCCCTCCGGCCCCCCCCCGGCCCTCCTGCCCCTGCTGCGGGGACTGATCAGGAGGAGGAGGAGCCCGGGCTCCCCAGGATGGGCCCTTCCTAGGGGGCTGTGTAGGAGGGAAGCCCCTGGGGGCTCTGTTTCTGATTTCATTTTCTCCTGCAGAGCCTGCATTTGCTCCTGGGGTAAAGGAGGGGGTACAAAGGTGGGGGAGTGGGACCGGGGTGAACATAGGAAATCATCTGGCTTCTTCTCCCCTGTCTTGAGGCCTGGGAGCAGCATTCTGGAGGGTGGGGAAGGAGGCGGGTATCATGAGGGCTGTGCGGTGGCCTGCCCGCCCGAGCAGGGCCTGGACTGCTGTGCGTGCTGCCCACTGCCCATTCTGTGGCCCAGCCAGGCTGGCCATGGGGTGAGACCGCACAGTGGGCAGGGCCAGGGAACCCTCCTCAGCCCCTGTGTCTCCTTCACCCCTTACACGTGTGTGTGCCGCATGTGTGGGTGCGTCTGTGAGTGTGGGTCTGCAGCATTGGGGCGCCTGTGGGCCGTACCTGTGTGTGTGCATGGCTGCCTGCCTGGGCCTGCAGGGACGTGTGTGCACGTGGGTGGGTGCGTGGGCTCGCACACGTGTGCTACATATGTGTACCGTGTACGGGCATGCATGTGCCTTGGTTTGGGTGCCCCCAGAAGTCCACCCGGAGAGAAGGATTCAGTTGCAGGTAGAGGACCCCGGAGAGCACAGTAGGGGGGGTGAGGAAGAAGGTGGGGGAAGGCAGGCAGCCAGGGAGGGCCATGATCTCCAGCAAAGCACCTCTGTGGGCAGCTGAAGGTCAGTGACTGGGGAGTCCCGGGAGCCAGAGGTCTCCCATCCAGAGGGCAGAGAGCCCACCAACTCCCATCTGTCTCTTGTTAACGCCTCCTGATAGGACCGTTGGCTCTCTGGCACTTTGGCTTGTCCTTGGCCTAGTGTCACAGAGTTGCCCGGGAGCAGCCTTCTGGGTGTAGAGCTAAGTGCTGAGGGTCTGCGCTGTGTGGTGGGTGTGACAGGTGCGGTGACGGGCCCCTCGGGGCCCCTGCAGGAATGATGGGCTTGCTCCCTTCCCCAAACAATATCCTAAGAGCAGCACCTAACACACCTCTGGCGCTAATCTCTGTCTCAGGAGCATCCAGCCCACACAGCACGCGTGTGTGCGAGCAAGCAAAGCTCCCTCTTGCCAGGAGGCATGTATGGGTGTGGGGGTGCTTCTCCTACTTTCCCCAGGGCCCTCCATGCACAGTCATCTAGAAGCCGAGCTGGTCCCTGGGCTGGTCCAGTAAGGCTCCTGGGGGCCTAGAAGTGAGAGGATACTGGAGATTTGGTGCCGAGCCTGGGGCCTGAGGCAGAGATGGCTTCTTCCCCGCACTGCCCTGGAACAGTGCTCAGGAGGGAGGTACGAAGGACTCAAGAATGGGCAGATCACGCTGGGGCGCCTGGGTGGCTCAGTCGTTAAGCGTCTGTCTTCGGCTTAGGTCATGATCCCAAGGTGTCTCTCTATCTATCTGTCAAATAAATAAAATCTTTCAAGATTTTATTTATTTATTTGACAGAGAGAGACACAGTGAGAGAAAGAACACAAGCAGGGGGAGAGGGAGAGGGAGAAGCAGGCTTCCCGCTGAGCAGGGAGCCCGACACGGGGCTCAATCCCAGGACCCTGGGATCATGACCTGAGCCGAAGACAGACGCTTAACGACTGAGCCAACCAGGCGCCCCAAATAAATAAAATCTTAAAAAAAAAAAAAAGAATGGGCACCAGGGGAGTGGGGCTCCTTGGGGCCCCCCAGGCCCTGCATCCACTCCTGATAGCTGCAGACAGCTCAGTGAAGCCTCACCCTTCCCCCTGACCTGCACGCTCTCGAGCCTAGAAGGGATTTTTGTTCAGCCATGGGCGTTATCTTGTCTTGCATGGAATCCGGCGCACACTACCACTCTGCATCCAGGCTACTCTGAGCAGAGAAGTCCTGGGATAGGGGGGGTCCCCTGACCACCCCTCCTCCTATGGCCTTCTTGAGAAGACTGCTGAGGGCCCAGAGCAACAGCCGTGGGGCTGGAGGTCAGTCTCGGAGGTCAGTGGGCGGCGGGCAAAGGTGGAGGCAGACGAGGACACTAAGAGGCCCAGGGGGAACCCAGTGTTACAGAAATGTTTATTACAAGGATAAATATATACAATAATGGGATATTAAAACTGCTGATCCTGGGCCTGTGGGACTTCAGGGGATGCAGGGAGTGGGTCAGGAGGACGGTGGGACAAGGTGGGTCAGTGGAGGATCCACTGGATGCAGTCTGGGATGCAGTCTGGGAATGACCAGGTCCCCAGATCCTGCACAGTGGGGTCCTTTGCTTGAGCTTGGGCAGACCTGCCCTCCCAATGTACTGCCCTCCTGGCTGCCTGGATGCCTCTAAAATTCTGGATGTTCCCTAGTGGCCGGGGGTGTTGAGAGCAGCTCTGGGTAGGGACATCAGTGAAGGAGGCTGAGCAGGGGCCCACCACTGACCCCCAGCATTCAGAGGTGGGAAAACATCACTGGTCTTTGAGAGACATGCTGCCCAACCTCCTTCTTTGAGTTGGTAGAGCCCTCTGTAGTTTAGATGCTTGAGGCAAAATCCAAATAGCTTGGGAGACTCCTGCCATGTCCCTGTTCCTGAATACTAAGGATTATGGGAAAACGAATCCCCTAGATAAATTTTCCTCGTCCCTCTAGACCTTGTTCAAGGGACACCTCTTCCAGGAAACCTTCCGAGCACTGCTGGCTGCTCAGCAGCGATGCTCGTCCTGTATCCCTCCCCTCATATATCCTCACTATGTCCCAGGGTCTCTCCTCACTGCTTTCCCACAGGGCTGGATCCGGGGCCCTATGCTTCATGGCTGGTGGGCTGATGACACTCTCTCCCTGGGATGGCATTAGCTCAGGACCACCCAGGGGGAGCCCAGAAAAGGAAGATGGGGTGGGGACCAGGGGTGAAGTGGGGAAGCCCATGTGGCTTGGCAATGTTTCAGGACTCTGTCCTGACATCTGCCTTTTGTTCCTACACAAGGAAGCTCAAAGAACCTGCCTTGGCTGCACTTTACATGCCTGAGAGGCTTCTCTATCTAGAATCTACGATGTCTTACAAACCCACAGGAGAGGGCCAGAAAGAGCTAGGGGGCCCCTGTCTCTGTGTATTTCCCTCCTGGTTGGCTGGGGTGTTGGCCTCATGGGGCCAGAGAGTGGAGTTGGGACGCTCAGATTGTCCCCAGAGTGGAGATGTCTATTAGAGGAAGGAATTGGGTCAGACCCCCCGCCCCTGGGGTGTCCTTTTCTCTTCCGGTAGCCTCCTGCTTTTTCTCGGCAGAGAGGCTGGCAGAGCTGGGGAGCTGGCTGCTGGCAGGGCAGGCGACCCCCTTGGGGGTGGGCAGAAGAGGCTGAGCTCCCAGCCAGCCTCAAGCCAGAGGTAGGTCCTGCCTAGATGGCTTGGTGGGCAGCCCCACCCTCTCCTGCTTCCTGACGTAGCCTGGGCTAGAGGGTGGGGCCCCTGGCTCTGCTCTGGGGCGGGGGGCCAGGGACCAGAAGAAGGGAGGGTAGAGCCCTGCAGGCTGCAGCCTGGGAGGCCTCCCCCAAACAAGCTGGGCTGGCAGGTTGTCTTGAGGGGCCCGTGCTCTCCCGAAGGTCTGCAACCCCAAGCCCCAATGCCTCCTCAGGTGCAGCAGGGGCGTCAGAATGCCAGGCCCTGCTGGCCGCTAGCCATGGCCATTCTGGGACATATAAGCTGCCAGAGCCACCACCACGGCCACATAGAGACCGGCGCCCACGGCGATGGAGAGTGTGGCCAGGAAGAGGGCCCTGCGGGAGGTGGTGCTGGCCAGGCGGAAGTCTCCCTTGGAGATGGCCTTGCTGGTCTAGGGAGAGAGAAGTGCTGGTGAAAGGGATATCCCCGAAGCGGACAGCACAGCCCCAGCCCGCTGGGCTCCAACCCCCTCCTGCACACGCCCCACCTCCCATCTCTGGTCAAGCCCTCGGGTGGTGGGAGGGGGCTGGAGCGGATGCCCTGCGCCCCTCCTGCTCTTACCCCCTGGGAGAAGTAGAAGGCAGCGATGCCCAGAGGCCAGAAGCAGCAGAGCATGGAGAAGATAGTAAGGCCCAGGTGGTCCCTGGGGGGCAGCGCCATGAAGTTGTCTTCACTTTCACTGTCTGTGGAGGTCACATCACTCTGCAAAACACAAGTGGGCTTTTGTGACCAGACCCAGGATCCCCGGCGGCAAGGATGTGGGGCCTCAGGTAGTGTCCTCTGCTGCAGGTGGGCGTGCAGGGTGGGCTCCGCACTCTCTACCCAAAGCCTTGGCTGTGACCGCTGATTCTCTCCTTCGGAATTAGCACAAGCATACAGAGAAAGAGTGCGAGTATCTGTGTACAGCTGTGCACATCATCGGATGGTACTTGTGAAAGAAGAGGAAGAGTCTCATTGCCCAGTGACCAGGAGATTGAGTTATAAGTGATGGGAGAAGGTACAACGGGATACCATGGAGCCCTTAAAGATCGCCTTGTAGACAAACGTTAAATGATGTGGAGCCATACTGAAGTACGTTGCTTAGAGAGAAAAATCTGGTGATAAAATGGTGTACAGCGAGATCTTTTGGGGGGAGTAGGGTGGGAGAAAAACATTGAATGAAAAAAGACTAGAACCTCATCTACTAAAATAATAATATTCTCTTCCAGTGGTTTTCTGTATTTTTAAATTACTTATATAATTAAGAAAACAAGAACAATAAATGCTTTTAAAAAATTAAGTCGTCGGGGCGCCTGGGTGGCTCAGTCGGTTAAGCGACTGCATTCAGCTTGGGTCGTGGTCCCAGGGTCCTGGGATCGAGCCCCGCATCGGGCTCCCTGCTTGGCGGGAAGCCTGCTTCTCCCTCTCCCACTCCCCCTGCTTGTGTTCCCTCTCTCGCTGTGTCTGTCAAATAAATAAACACAATCTTAAAAAAAAAATTAAAAAAAAAAATTAAAAAAAAAATTAAGTCGTCAACCCAAGCGTGTGTTTCTCGAAGTATGGACAGCCCCTGTGCCAGAAGTACCTTTTCTTCAGTAACATACAGATGCTTGGGCCCCAAGCCAGGCCCACCGAATCTCAAGCCCTAGAGCTTGGCCAGGGACTCTGCATTTTATTTTATTTTATTTTATTTTTATTTTTTATTTTTTAAAAGATTTTATTTATTTATTTGACAGAGAGATAGAGAGAGAGAACAAGTACGCAGAGAGGCAGGCAGAGGGAGAGGGAGAAGCAGGCTTCCCACTGAGCAGGGAGCCTGATGTGGGGCTCGATCCCAGGACCCTGGGATCATGACCTGAGCCAAAGGCAGACGCTTAACCGACTGAGCCACCCAGGCGCCCCTATTTTATTTTATTTTTTTCAAGATTTTATTTATTTGACAGAGAGAGACACAGCGAAAGAGGGAACACAAGCAGGGGGAGTGGGAGAGGGAGAAGCGGGCTTCCCGCAGAGCAGGGAACCCGATGTGGGGCTTGATCCCAGGACCCTGGGATCATGACCTGATCCGAAGGCAGACGCTTAATGACTGAGCCACCCAGGCGCCCCTTGGGACTTTGCATTTTATTTTATTTTTTTTATTTATTTTTTTTAAAGATTTATTTATTTATTTGACAGAGACACAGTGAGAGAGGGAACACAAGCAGGGGGAGTGGGAGAGGGAGAAGCCGGCTTCCCGCAGAGCAGGGAGCCCGATGTGGGGCTCGATTCCAGGACCCTGGGATCATGACCTGAGCCGAAGGCAGACGCTTAATGACTGAGTTTCCCAGGCGCCCCTTGGGACTCTGCATTTTCAACACATGCACTCACCTCCTCCTCCTCCTGGTCGTTCTCCTGGCCCTGCAGCTCCTCTTGAACCCCGTAGGACACGGTCTGGATGGTGATATCCTCTTCTACTTGGCCAGGTTCTGTGGACTGCTCTGCGGGCCCAGCCTGGAGCTCCCTGTTCTCTGTGAAGCTGGTCTCACAGCTGCTTGCCCTGGGCTCCTTGACCTTGTCCCTCCCCAGGAGGCAGCTGGGCCTGTACCAGGCCTCCACGGCCAGCTGCAGAGACCCCGGGTCCAGGAGCTGGTGGGTGCGAGCAGAGCCAGCACCACCCAGGAGGTAGGAGTAGAGCTTCTCCTGGCATGACCAGCTGGGCGAAGCCTCGGGGTAGGGGTAGCGGCCATGCAGCGGGGCCGGGCTCCGAGGCAGCAGAGGGTTCTGAAGTTCACTCAGACTCTCCATGGTTCCGGGGAGCAGCTCCAGAGAGGGGAGCCTGGGCCAGCCGAGCGTCCTCAGAGAGCCTGCTGGGCGAGCAAGACAGACAGACGCTGAGTCCCAGGTGCCGGATGCAGGGCTGGAAGCATTTAAGAGCACGGGCCCTCAGACCCTGCCTTTGCCACCAGGCAGCTGTGGGGCTTCGAGCTGGCTACTTCTCTTCTGAGTGTCCTTTTCTTGGTCTACACAGTGGGCACAGCAGCAAGACTTACCTCACAGAGTTGGCTCATTCATCTATCCTGCGAACACATAATGGCTGAGCGTCAGCTCCCTGCCGGGCACCATGCAGAGGATGGGGACACGGAGGCGGGAAAGGCAGGGAGCAGGGAGGGGGAGGAGGATGCACACTGTCTTCACGGAGCTCACAGAGGTGAAGGACAGAGAGGGGTGTAAGAACGAGCAAGGGACAAAACGGACACGAAGGTACAGGGAAGGCTTGGCGCCGAGAGCCGAAGGAAGAAACCCAGTTGGCAAGGCAGGGGGAGGGAGAACACGTTTCATGCAGAGGCCAGATCAAGGATGCTCGCTCCGAGAGCCTGGGAGAAGGCTGGTGCTTCTCGGGGTAGAGAGGGAGGGGTGAGCTGGGGTGTGGGGCCAGAGCGTGCAGCCCTGTTTAGACCTAAGAGGGCTTCAGGGGTCTTGGCAGGAGTGATAGGATGCAATCTGGGTCCAGGAGTCTTCCCGGGGCCGTGTGCGGGGAGTGGCTTGGAGAGGGATGGGCTCACTGTGACACCCATAGGGGGCTTTGCCACGGCTTCAGGTCAGCTGAGGACAACTGGAACTCAATAGTGGGGAGATGCTGACAGGACTTGGCAGCAGGTGGGATATTGGGCTGAGGGAGGATTTGTTCAAGGGTTGGATGGGACTGCGCTTAGCTCAGAGCTCAGCACAGGCCACAGGCTCACAGCTGTCCATTCTTCCCAGGGGAAGATGCTTCTCCCCAGTTATGGTCTTAGGGGGATGCACCTTAGACTAATCTCCCCTCTAAGGCAGACTGTAGTTTTGGGAAATCCTGTGGGGTCTAAGGCAGGGCCTCCTGAGCATTAAAGTCTAGACTTGTACATCCCAGCTAGAAGTGTAGATATGCTCATAGGCTAGTGTGTGGACATCCTGGCGGGCTACCTCTTCCTCCTTCAGCCAGCCCTGAGCCCCTGGGAAGGGTGCATAGTAGGTGCTCAGGGCTGGCTGAAGGAGGGAAAGGCAGCCTGTGAATGTGGCTACCACAAACCTACACATACTCTGGGGTGTGGCAGGTAGAAACGGGATATGGAGAGAGAAGAGGGGCAGGCCTGGTGGCCCCAGGGACCCTGCGCTCTCCCTCCCAGGCCCATAGTAGTTGAAGGGTGACAGGATCATGTCTTGCCCTGGATTGATAATCTGACGAAAGCAGAGTTGGTCCTACCCTTGGTACTTTGGGCAAATAATCATGCCCTTCTGGGTTTCCCCAGCTGTAAAGTGCAGATGATAATTCCAGCCCAACCCACAAGGTTGTTCTGAGGATCCAGAGATGACCGAGATGTCATTGCAGATTATAAGTAGGAGGGGCTGCTGTGCTTCCTTCTGGGCTCCAGTCTTTACCCACCCAGGGTCATTTCTGGCCTGATGGTAAAGTGAAAAGTGTGGGGAGGGATTTCAGCCCCCAGGGATGGGTTTGTCTAGGCCCCCTCCCCAGTCCCACTCCCCATCAAGAATCCACAGCCAGAGGCTGGCCATTTCTCTTTCTGGCCCAAGAAAAGTGGCTGGATTCTAGAAAGCTGGTTTTTTGGGAAATCTGCAGATGGATCAGGGCCATAGAAATAACAGGGAGTGGGACAGAGTGAGGGGCGGGGGAGGGCCTGGCAAGACTGGAGGGGCATTGAGGGTGAGTCCATGGGCGGGGGGGGGGGGCAGCATCCTCTGGGTGGCCTGCTAGGAGGGAGGAGGGAGGAGACTGCTTGCCTGGGGGCAAAGAAGCAAGAGGAGGCTGCCCATGCCTCAGAGGCTCTGAGCCCTGACAAACGTGGCCTCTGGGGCTGGGGATCCAAGAATGTCGAACAGAATCATGGAGGGACCTAAAGAAGGGTGTGTGGCCCAAGTGTCCAACTCCTCCCCCAGGGAGGGCACAGATGGTGTGGGAGACGCTGGGCTGTGCTGCCCCTGGGGGCTCTGTGGGTGCACGAAGCAGTTACAAGTCCTACCTGGGTTGTCACCCAGCTGGGGCAGAAGTTTCTGCAGAGACGAGACAGCGGTTCTTGGGAGGAGTGGAGCTCACACGGGCAGGGGCTTCACTACTTCTCCCCCGTCCTGCCTCTCTGGGGTCAAACATGCAGGGAGCCATGGGGACTATAGTGATGTGCCCGCCCTCCTCTGGGCAGATTCCCAGCAGGCCTGGTCTCTTCTGACCCCCGAGGGCAGCTTTTGAGTCCCTGTCCAGCCTCCCCCACCCCCACCAGTGGATGTGACTCACAGATATGCAGTCCAAGGGCCTGTGACCCTAAGGCTCATTGGTTTGGGAGTCAGGTACGCTGGGGCTCCATCTCTGACCCACCCCCATTAGCTCTCTGATCTGGCACCTCGGTTTCCCTATCAGTAGTAAGAGGGGTGGGATTAAATGGTCACTGATGTCGATGGTGGCACCAGGGCTCCATGATCCCGTAGCCTCAAGGGGCCCTGCAGAAGTGAACTCCCCCACTGCCTGCCCCGTCAAGACTCAGGGATTCACGAGCCCGCCTCGAACCCAGTGACGTGCCACCTTCCCTATCATGGCCCCTCGAGCACCCTGAGGGAGGCAAAGGGAAGGCAAGGCATCTCCTTGTCCGATGGACAGTGGAGTTACAGCATCATCCCCTGGCTTCCCAACGCCCCCTGGGCTGCCACAGTCCACTCCCTGCCCTCCATCTCGCCCACCCTGTGGGATTCTAGGACATGGCTCCCGAAGGTCCCCTAGCCTCTCCTCCAACTGGTCTTAATTAATGCCCCCTCTGCTTACAGCTCCAAGGGTCCCTGTCACCATCTGTGTGAGCAGAGGTATGTAGGGGCATTTTGGTGGGGTTGGGTGGGAAGGATCAGCCCCAGGCCCTCCAAGCAGACTAATGCATCAGTGTCACCCTGCCCTATGCCCTGAAGGAGGGATAGGAGCCCTTGCCTTGGCCAGTCACCTGTCTAATTCCCCAGAAGGAAAAGAAGGATACTTGTGGCCAGGAATCAGGCCCTGGAGCTCTGGAGACTTGTAGGTGCATTTGCAGGGCATTTGTCCAGGGCAGGGCAGGGGCAGCTGGGTCCCCACTCATCCCCCTGCTCTTGCCAGCCATCCCCTCTTAGTCAAAGTATACCCCACCGAGCTACTGAAACCCAGCCATGCAGCCTTTCCTGGATTACACTCCCCTCCACCGCACTCCGATTGTGCCTTTGGGCAGAGCTTCTCAGCTTTGTGTACAAAGACGTATGATCCCAGGTTTCCCCAATAGGGACAAACTGAAAGCCACCTGAATGCCCAACAATGAGGGACAAGTTAAATAAATTACGGTACAGCCCGATGGTACAAGGCCTTCAAACGGGTTTACAAAGAGGAGTGACATGAGAAAAATACTGCAGCTTGAGGGAGAAGGAAGAAAAGAAAGTGGTTTGCGCATGTAATCTAACTCCACCAAAACGTCCACAGTGATTATCTCCAGCGGTGGTTGCACAGGTTTTCATTTTCATTTTTACACCGTGTTTTTTTCCGTTTCCTGTATTTATTTTTACATTGAGCATGTACTTTTTTTTTTTTAAAGATTTTATTTTATTTATTTGAGAGAGAGAGAATGAGAGACAGAGGGCATGAGAGGGAGGAGGGTCAGAGGGAGAAGCAGACTCCCCGCCGAGCAGGGAGCCCGATGCGGGACTCGATCCCGGGACTCCAGGATCATGACCTGAGCAGAAGGCAGTCGCTTAACCAACTGAGCCACCCAGGCGCCCCGAGCATGTACTTCTTTTAAACCAGAAAAAAATTAAGTGCATAGATTTCTTCTGAGCCAAGTTATCTAAAATCGGTTTTAAGCCTCTCTAGGCTTGGGGGTTCTTCTGGGTTTAAAGGCTGAGCACAGCATCGCAGCCCGCCCTGACATAGATGGGTAGACATGAACACACATGCACACACGCCCCCCACTTCCATGTCAGCCAAGTTATGGGCGACAGCCCCTCCTCACAGTCCAGCCAAGGGTCACAGTTCTCGAGCAGGTCATGTTCGCCCCATAAGCTGCTAAGGCCACACGAGAGTCCACCAAACTGATCCCGGGGACCCAGCACCAAGTCCTGGCCAGAAGGAGGGGGTGGGCAGGTCCCCAGGCCCAGGCCTCTCTGCCCTTAGCCTGGCCTGACATTTTGGCCTGTTGCTTAGGGCTGCCTCTCCCTGTTCCCGGGAGTAAGAGACCTGTGTTCAAAGCAGAGTCATTTTCATCTCCACTGCTGCCTGGTCTCACCTGGGCTGTGTGTGCCTGCTGTCCATGCTCTACTGGGCGCCTGCCTACTTGCTGGTGAGCATGCCCATGTCTGTGTGCATGTGTCCGTATGCAGACACGTGTGCGCGCTGCTCCAGAGGGAACACAGGAGATGTCTGGGTTTCTGAAGCTCAGGAGATTGCTCCAGATTGTGCAGTTGGGGCTAGAGGTCCGGGCCCCACAAGAGAAGAGGGAGGGGAGCCTGGGTGGCTCAGTCAGTTAAGCGTCTGCCTTACGGCTCAGGTCATGATCTCAGGGTCCTGGGATCGAGTCCCCGCATCGGGCTCCCTGCTCGGCCGGGAGCCTGCTTCTCCCTCTCCCTCTGCCACTCCACCTGCTTGTGCTCTCTCTGTCTGTCAAATAAATAAATAAAATCTTAAAAAAAAAAAAAAAGGAGAGGGAGAGTTGGATCTGGGAGGCCACAGCCCCTGGCTTGTTTCCTTTGGAGCTGAGAACCGAGCTGGGCCCTAAGGTTTTCCACTCCCTGATTTAGAGATGGAGAGCGCACTG